GAGAGAGAGAGAGAGAGAGAGAGAGAGAGAGAGAGAGAGATCAGGAAGTAAGAAAGAAATATATATATTAATGTTATCTTGTGATACGAGTATGTTATGCATGTGCATGTACATTGTTATGGTTGTGCCCGAGGTTAAAGGCATTCAAAGCCAAATTAAACATTTTTATTTATTTTATTCGCAAACCAAGAAAAACTTTCATAACTCAGTTTCGCTACCAACAGCAGCAGTTTCCTCCTGATGTGGCGTTTTCTTTTGGTTTGTTTTAATTTTTTTTTTTCAATTTGAATTATTTCAAGAACATCTCCGCTCCCTTCTCCTCCCAATCAAAGATTCTATTGCAAGAGCATTTGAAAGGTATTTTTAAAAACGTTCTTGTTTACAGGAAATAATTTCTCTCCTTTATTTTACCACACAGGAATCGATTTCCGTCAGTTTTTCCAATGTACATGCTCTCCGCCCATCTCCCTTTCCTCATTGAAAAGAAAAACAAGCCTTTACAAGTCCAAGATTCTAACCCTATAAATTGGTAAATGTGTTTAAAAAATGCTTTCTATAATAATACAGTCTTAACGTTCGCCCCCATCCCCTCCCTTTTTGGTTTTTATTTACAAAACACACCTTCTATATTCGACACATTTCGCACTGTTCTCTTGTACCTTTGCCGTGCCTCCATCGTACACTTTTTACCTCCCTTATTTCAGGTTTTGGGGTGAACAGAAGTCTTTTGCAGCAATTTGCAAATATTAACTTTCCCTCACCCTCTCCTTTTGGTAAGATCGTGGTTTATGGTGTCCTTCTTGTACGGCTAACAACCAACTATATATTTGTGTACTGTAAGGCCCAATTTGACTCTGTTTTAACCCCTAACAAAAGAACACCCTCTAGGATTGCTTGGTGTTTGTTCATCTTTAAAAAAAATCTAGATGTCCAACGATCCTGTCGAAACATTTAGACCATTTAGAAGTCGGGTCTCTCAGATGGTCACACCAAGGAGGTTATGCAGTAAGGTCCTTGGATCACACTGACCCTGCCTGCCAGGACCAACCTGACCAGGTTGAGAGGGATACAACCAAAGATTCTATGAGAATCTTTGAAACAACGTCTCTACAGAAAATCGGAGAAACTCGATGAAAAACAAAATAAATTAGATATCCATCCCTACACAAAATCGTAAACAATCATTTCATTGTTCACTATTACAGCCT